TAAACTCGGATGGCCATGGCTCGAAAAGGGGCACAACTCGTTACGTAACCCTGGAGGACCGGTTAGAGCCTCTAGGAAAGAGAGTTGCGCCCAAAGCCCATTGTTGCCTCCAACTGCGCGGCGGCCTGGTCCGTGGCGGCTACTACAACAACAACAACAACAACAACAACAAAACTGACACGCACGGAGCTCAAAACATTGGAAACACCAATACAACGCTAACTTGCTGTAGCCTTACGCTTGAGCGGAGATGATTGGACATCTCAACAACAGCCGCACGCACAGCTCACAAAATGTAGAAAACACATTCACACGCACATACATCGAACTGAATCGCTGTAAGCACCACCACAAGTGTGCAAGCAGTTTCTTTTCCGTCAGACATTTATCATTGCTACTAGATACTAGATTTTGCCAGCCTTGATTGCTTACGACCTTTCATCGCTCCTCTGGAGCTCAAATCAACACAAACGCTGTGTGCGTGCGAGTTGATCACTGCCATGACTTCTCTTGGACGCAACAATCTGCAATAATCTGCCACACGACGTTGCGGATTCCATCTTGAAATTGGTTCTTGGGACACGTAAGAGACAACTACGATGAAGTGCGCAATACAAATAGAAATATCGGTTTGATGCCTGGTTGATGTTCAATATGGAATTTTGTCACCATGCCTAACTACGGCTTGAACGAAAGGGGAAAGTTTCAAATGGGTTCACCTAAACATTAAGCAATGGTTCCATAATATACAGCTGAGTTCTTTGCTATATTAACAGTTTGTTAGTGCTCAACTGCATTCCGGCACAAGTAAATGCAAACAAAAAATGATGCACAGGTAGTCAGTTATTAATCAAACATGACAGATATTTAAGCAGTGTTTACACGTAATGAATATTGCGTATCATCCGCACAGAACCACTGTGTAGATACTTTTTTAGTTGCTACTTCAAACTTCAAGCCTACTTGTTGAGCATTGGACCTCTATTCCTCTATTCTGTGTATTACTCGTTTGGTGTTTGGGTCATGCTCCCTGCATCTTTCCATTGCACTCCAGATTTTCGTTTCACGTTTAATATCAGGCTGTCTCTCACTGGTCACGATTGCAGATCAATGCAATAACTCAAGCCCATCTAAATACTCACTGGAATCCTAATTGATGTGCAGTGCCGAGCTTTCTACGTATATGCAAGCAACATTTCAACAGAAAGTGTAAGAATGCCTTCAATACTCATCGAACATCTGATGTTCACATACAACTGAGAAATGTTTCAGTAGTCTAGTAGTATGTGCTTCACATCTACATGATATTTACCCAGATACTGTGCAATAGGTTTGCTAACCCATTATTTCCTCTGCTGAATGTTTTGTTAACTGGTAAACAACTGGAGTATTTACGTACTCTACAAGCTTGGCATGGGCATTGCATGATTTCGTCGCTTGTGAATATTTGGTGCGTATTTGCGTTTTCTTGTGCTGTCTCTTCTCAATGAAATACGCGGTTGTCACTATCTACGAACGCATTAGCACTCAACTTCTACGCCGTGAATGATTATTTGTCCTTCTTGTGCTGCCGCGCCGATAGCTAACACTTATTCACGAGTTTTGCGGGTTCGTGGGTATTGTGTGCATACTGGATATTGTGTGGCTTGGGCAGCATGTAGGGATGAGGCAGGAGAGCATGAAACGTCACAGAACTGGATGCATGCTCCAAGAGAAACAATTTGACACGTATGGCAAATGCTGCCTGACGGTGAGTCGGTGAGTCTTTAGGGAACAGATCAGATAGTGACTGGATGAGACATGGGTGAGGCGGAAAGTGCCGGAAAATGTTTTTAGTGGCTGAGCACGTGAAGATCTGCGGACACACACCGGTGGCATAAACACACCAAATAGGAAGGTACATCGGGGGGAGTGTAGCATATAAATATATATATATATAAGAGAGAACCCTCACCCTCGTAGCTCGCAGCAAGGCAACCGACTTTGTTGATGCCGGCCCAGGTAAGGTCGGGTATCTCAGCTGGCGGCAAGTCGAGTGCAACTTCGATGCCTAAACTGCCTAAACATCGAGTTCCTTCTTTGCTGAGCACCCATGGGAAGGCATCGTAGCACATGAAGCCAAAAGCAACAATGGACCTCATTCATTGCGGAGTTTCCGCGCAAGTCGTCAGCAAAGATATCCGCCAGACTCCGCGAGGGATTCGGTTCCGCACAAGATGGCCTGCACCAAAAACCTTCGCAAGCATGGCAATGGCAGAAACTGAATGAAGCATTTTCTGGCATTCTCTAAGATGACTAGATAACTTCCGAGCGCCAGGCTCCAATTTGAGGTTGTCGGTCATAACGAGTTTCATCTCGTTGACGATCTGCAAGTCACCGAGGATTCAATGACTAGCAGATTAGCGGCTAGAGCCCCTATACGACATCAACCAGTACTCGCGCAGGCGCACACACACTTCCAGCGATCCCCGGCATTTACATCTGATTGCCAGTACGTCTTGACTCAACTGCTATGCAGTCCTTCATCTGCTTCTCTTCGATTTTGTCCTGTCAAGTCTTGATCGATGCAAGCAGGGCCCTCTCGCTCCTTATCACTGTACAAGTACGGTGGTGTCATGCAGGAAAAAAAGACCATCTTCAATATCCTAAAGCGCAAGGTGCCTCTAGTTTTTTGCGTTTCTCGGTGTCCTCCTCAGGCGTCGCCTGCGATGTGAGCATTCCAGGCACCCTTTGTTACGGCTGAGAACTGTATCACTGCATCCTTGAGCTCGGCCCGCAGGAGGATCACATCGCGCTCGGTGTTGACAATCGTGCCCGGGTTCAGAACCATGTCGAGCGTCCTTGGAACCAGTGAACTGTCAACACCCAGGCAGGGCACACCGCCTTTGTCATTGCAGGGGGGCGGGCAAGTTGCTGGCACCGTTCATCTTGCGCAGCCTATCCTCCAGGTCCAGCACCTGGTCTGACTTTTGATTACTGGATGCAAAGGGGGTTGTCACAGCCTGAACAGCACGAGTCACGAAGCTGAGTGCAACACCAAAGGGTCATCGCCTGAGACTTCCTCGAAGAAGGGCTCCAGCTCCTTGCGACTTTCCGGCACTCAGATCTCATGTGCATCGTACACCGCAACGGAGGCGTCTCACTGCACGGACACCTGATGGTAGGGTCTGGCCGACGGCCGTACGATGCGAAAGCAAAAACCAAGGTTCTAGAGTTTGATGCCCCCGGCCCCCTGCACCACGGCATGCGGCCGGTGGCGCTTGAGTTATAAAGTGTAATCCAGAACTTCAATACGTGTGACCCCGATCCCTTATGATCGACATGCAGATCATGCATTCGAAGACGTATACATAGGCACATGTATATACACCTACGAGTACATGTGTTTATATATAAATATCAAAATAGCGTATACTGCGCCTCAACACACATACACACACATGACATTTGTATGAGTTGGGGCGAAGAAAGTGTGTACGCATGTAGCAGTTTAGCCATGTATGCATGTATGTTTGTGGTCGCACGCACACGTGTGCAAGCATCAGTACGTGCAGGCATGTGCACCCCGAGGCTCAGGTCAACGAAAGACCCGTCTGATAAGCGTGATCTGATCCTGGGACGATGGGATCACGACATTGCCTGCATTGACTTTTCAGTTTTGCAGCTGGACTCTAGTGTGGCATCGCACGCGGTTCAGCTGTTGTCTGTCTGAGTGCGTCATGGGTACACAGTCTGTCGCAGGTTATTCTCCTGAAGTTCTCCTGAAAAGCTTGACTGTAACCAGTAGAGATCAAGTTAGCATGCTGGCATCCACTGGCCTAATTGGTTTGGTGTCGAGTCAATCAGAAAATCAGTCCACTAAAATGCCGTGTGAGATTTGTTCGTCTGCCAGGGTAGCCGCATGTCGCTGTGCATTTGCAGGGTCCAAAGTTCCCAGTGAGTGCAGACATTAGACGCTTGGACGATGAGCCTGCAGCTTCTGGTCCCTGTGCTCGATCTATCCTGTCGAGATATCCTTTGCAACATAATAGCACAGTGACTTGGTGAAGCCCAGCAGTGCACTGGTTTCCAAAGAGCAGACCTGACCGGTCTCAACCTGCGTCTTGCTTTGTCAGGGCCTAAGTCTGTTAAGTCCACTGCTTCTCCGTTTCCCTCTAAGCCTCTAAGTCCCTGTTAATTGAGGGATAGAGCCCTCAGAAGCTCCGAAGCTGAAGGCAGGCTTGTCGGATGCGAAAGCGCGAGCTATCGCAAGCTCGGCTCAAGCCCTGGTCTTCTCGTTGCCCATTCTGTGAGCGGGCGAAGCCTCCCCAAGCTGGGGACGAGAGATAAAGTTCTAAAACAAATGCGGGAAGCCGCCTTGCAGCTTCACCCTGCCCAGACCCAATCTCTGCTGCCAGCTCAGCATGCGCAACTTCGCAAGTGCTGTGCCTGGTTCTCTCGGACATCCTCGAACAGCTCAGAACCCCTCAGTTTTAAAAGACTGAAAACCTGGCCCAATGTGATTCACTCATTCAAACTTGAGCCCAAGTCAGACTAGCAAAACATAGCAAAATCCTCGACATCTGCAGCGCCACCGCCGCTCTGCCGGGGCTGTGCCTCATCCGTGGTTGGTCTTCAAGTGGGACTAGAACAAACGTCTTTGTTGGGGGCTTCGTGCTGGCGAATCGACAGTCGCAACTCAGCAGAAGAGTTCGCCAGCACAATGTGTCATCGTCACGAGGAAATCCATCATACAGAAGCCCCAAAGAAGAATCACACAACATGGTTCACGTTAGGGTGGAACAGGTCACAGCCTTGAAGCAGCACGCAAACGGTGCTTGCCCTTGCAGGCTCCGAACCACGACAAGTGAAGCACTAGAGCCGAAGATGGAGACGAGAGCATCATTGGAAAGAGGCGTCTTTCAACCGAGATCCCAGCCCTAGCTGCCAAGGGTGCCGTTCGTGCTGCCACCCTCCGCCTGGCTCGGGTCGAGGCCCCATTGAAAACCGAACAGCCTTACGCTTACGAGCTCCTCCGGATCCAATATGCATTTAGGATTCCTTGTCGTTAAACATTGGTCATGATTGGTCGCTTCACTGAATTTTCTGGCAAAGTAGCCATATCAAACTCGAAAGCATATCGGCGAACAAGACGTCGAACGTGTGTGCATGACCGAAGAAGCCGACACTTGGTTCCTCGTGCTGAGCCACGTTGTCTTTCGTGGTGCGAAGTTCCTAAACAGCAGATTCCCCGCACCCCCAGCGCAAGTAACCCTGCACCCAACGCAGTCCAACGGCAGCCGCATGGCTGAAAACATCTGAAAACTACCGTTACTAGCACTAGTACTACTGGCCTCATCGTCGTGGACTTCGTCGAAGCAATCGTAGGTAAACACTTTGCGACTCTCTCATGTTCGCAGACACACACACACACACAAACACATATATATATATATATATATACATATACATATATATGTATACATATATGTATATATATATATATATATATATGTTTATATTTATAATATATATATATATATATATATACCTACCTACATGACATGGGAACAGTAAAGTCTCAGATTGGCATTTTGGTGGAAACCAAGGCTAAAGGCACGCTCAATAAATGCAGCACTTCCGTCGCCTGTCTTGGCCCAATGGAACTACATTAGTCTCAGCTTCCCTCGTTCATCCTGACGAAGGCAAAAGGCAGTCCGACAGAGCCACTCTCGAGTACGACTCGATGACTGTCCATTCGAGGACCCCTGGGAAAATGTGATAAATTCCGTTGTGCGCGATGTACACTTTGGACTTGAGACAAAGTGAGGCTGGCACAGACCTCGTTGCTTCTCTGTTTGGCCAGCAGAACATAAGAAAGCGCTTCACAGGGGCGTCGCCTCTTCGCCACCACACCTGCTGCCAGAACCGTGGCGGCCGCCGACAGTGCCGACGGCATGCCTTGATCCATCAAGTTTTGCCAGCGCCCGCACGCATGCTGATGACGGCAACAAACGTGAAGAGCACCTAGGCTCTAAGTCCTATGGCGTGAACCTTCAATCCTTTGCATGCAGCCGTCGAAGGAGGCCTGCCTCGCTCACACGTCACTTCCGGCGCCCGTCCAGGTGTTGAGACGAGCCTCAAAGCTCAACGAGTGCCCAGCCTAGGAAGCTTACCGAGCTAGACCATACAGCTTGCCCACGCGAACGGGCCTCGCCGGTGGCGTAGGAGGTGCTGCGCCAAGGGCAAATGCCTTGCAATTCAAGGGTGGGGCTGGGTGGCAGGAGTCCAGACTGTTGACTGCACTTGGCAGGACTCTGACGTTAAAAGTCTTCGATTAGGTCAGGGTCTGTCAACTGAAGCTCGAACCTCTCCAAGCAGCGCCATAGCGACGATCAGGGCTCAAGACAGAGACTTCCACAGCAGTATCAAGCAGTCGATGCCGAGTCGATGCACTTGACTCGATTATGGTGCAACATCTGCTACCGCCCGCTTTCGCAATGGATGAAGTGATCTGACCAGCTCACACACAGATCTGGGCCTGCCGAGAATTTGCGGACATCGTGGCGAAATGTGAAGCCAAACAAGCGAACTGCTGCCCCAATCGATTGAACCCAATCGCATTACCCGAAAATCCAGAAGACAAGCTCTCCCTACGCTGAAGACCTTCTGATATTTCGCAATGCCAGGTGAACAAAGACATGGCACGTGTCCTCAGTGTGCAGTGCTTGGGATTTGTCAGCCGTCTGCACTAACCACTGTCAGACCAGGAGAAGTGAGATCAGATTGTTCCATTTCTCTTTCCTGCTGCTACATCTGTGACCGACTGTACTCTCTTATCTTGTTAGAAGGACAGAAGAAGATAGCAAACGCAGAGGATTGCCGGGCGGAAACAGCAGCCTCTCGACGACACTTAGGATGGTCGCCTTGCAGAACTTCAGGGTACCAGCAACACATCCAGGTTAGCACTCCGTGGTCTCGCTGTGCTAGCCTGTGGAGGCTGAAAAGAAATGCTGCTCTCGTGGAACTTAGCAGAACGAAGCTCGTACTGTAGGGTGAGCACCACCGCCTGAGCATTGGGGAAGACAAACTCTGCGACCACACGAGAAGCGGAGGGGAGGCTGAAACGAAAAAAAAATCAGTCAGTCAGCCCACATTTCTCTCAACGCCACTACCAACGACAAAAAGCACGTGCATTCAACAATGCCGTGTGAAGACTAAGCATGCAAAGACACAAGAAATGCACGAGAAGAGGATCTACTTAATCAACTGCATCTCGTGGCACTCTCGTGCACTTCTACTGGAAGAGTCCAAGCTGGTGCTCTACGGCAGCAGCTCGGCATTCACCACCAGGCACTCGGGCAGAAAACGGCGCTTCTGCGCCGGCTAAGGAAACTAACTGAATTTGTGACCGGCCAAAAATCCCTAGGCCACGCTTGGGTTCATGAGGAGCAAAGACAAGACAACTACGTAGTCTACACTTCAACCCCAATTCCAGGAACCAAGCTGCTACTTGCCGCAGACTCTGGCTGTGGCAGGACATCAATCGGAAGAACGGTTTCGACATGCATCTTGCTTGAATCACATATCAGAATGTTGAATGGCCGGCTGGTCGCGGTATGGTAAAACCACTGCAGCCCGGATCACTTGTTTGATTCACTTGCCTCACCGTCAAATTGCAGATGATACCGTGGGTCTGATACTGCAGACGTGAGCAGATAGACTTTGGTGCTGCAGGCTCATCATCATCATCATCATCATCATCATCTGGCCTGCCCGAACCCGGCCGGCTCTGCACCAAGGTATGCTCTGCCTCGGAGCACAACTTGCATCCGACGGGGTCCATCAACATTTGGGCCTTCTCGAAGCTTCTGAGTTTCCAATTGCTCGGGGCATGGCGCTCCTCCATTAGCTTCTGGAAGGCATGCTTGGCAGCCTGGGCGGAATACGCTTCTGGTGCGCTTGGGCCATGACCTCCATCCCAAGCCTCCTCGCATTCCGTGTTTTTGTCCGGGTGAAGTTGCCTCAAAGTTTCATGCCAGAACACTTGCAACCTGGCACCTCAACTTACAACATCTCTAGACATGAACCGGTCACTACTTGGGCACCAGACCGTTGCAAATCGCGGAAAATCAATTTTCGCACCTCCCAGATTCAACGCAGAATCCTCCAAGCTCAAGGTGGCATGAACAAAGTCCGGGCACCGGTCTGCCTGAAGCGGCTCTTTGCAGGTGTGCTTCAGTTGCTCCCGCATTTCAGTCACCAGCAGGTCCGCCTGAGCTTCTGGGTCCTGCAGATGTCATCCTGAAACTGACATCGACTTGAAAAGGAGGAAGCCGGTTGTCGCCTGATCCTGGCTCAGAGTATTGACAGGCTCGGGGACCTGGCGTCTGCCGAACACCTGGCAGACGTAGTGCCATTGCCCAAGCATGGCATGTCTGTTGCTTAAGTTCCCAGCCCATGCCGCGGCCGTAGCTGCACGTTGGTGAAACCTCTAGCATGCAGGCTCGTGCGCTGCGCGGACTGAATGCTACTTTCGAAATCATATGTTACGCTGTGTTATGCAGAAGTCCGACATGTAAGGCACATGCGTGGCAGGTGGCGACGGCGACGGGACCGGAGCTTCCATGCGAATGCGCGCCTGGAGCCAACACTATGACCCCTGACTCTTGACTATGATGAAAAAAGCCCAGGTCACCTTCAAAGGCGTTGGCCGCACAAACCTTGCAATCAAAGCGCTTTTTGCTTATCCAAAGACCCCGCTCCGTTGCACACCACGAGCCAAGTGCGAAGTGTGTGCGCCATTTAGCCAAGCCGCTCCCCGTTGTCAGAGAGCCACGCACCTCGGCGAGAAGTGCAACACCTACCAGACCTATCACTATCGTCAACCCAAGAGCTCCGAGGCCCGGGCTTTGCGTCGGCCCCGGCCTCCGAAGCCGCTAGAATGCCACTAGAACATCCGTAGAGGAGTCACTACAATAAGGTATCATTATGATCGCATCAAGCAGCCATTGCTCGTCTTCCAACTTCTACCTTGAGTGCTGCTGAAGACTGATGGCTCGTTGCTACTGCAAGTCGCATAGCTACAAGTACGCATGTTGTTGAGACAGCGAAGATTGCTATTGTCACCGTTGCTCATGGTCGTCGTCGTCTCATTGATGAGTCTTTTGGGCTCATGGCCCTCTTCATATCGAGAATTCCTCACCTAGCACCGAAAAAGCTCAAATACCAGTTAGGTTGCGGAGAGGAGGAGTGCAGCTTCATGCTCGTTGCTCGTTGAGTCGCAACGATACACGGGTGCCAACCGCTCTGGCTCTGTGCTATAACATTCGAAAGCTTCACTGAAAGACATTTTGCACTCCGAGGACTCTACAGAGCCTACGCAATTTCACACACGTCCCCCATGTATGTCCTTCATAGTAGGGGAGTCTTCTAGGACATCCGTAGTACTGTAAGTGGCACCTGATCCCTGCAGAGGCGGTGCGGGTTGGTGGCTCATCGCCTTGCACCCCGATTGCTGCATTCGTTTGCACATGCATCTCTGATGACGGGGCGAGGTCTGCCTCTCGTGGATGTAGGCATCCATTGCTCGGAACTGACAGTCCAAGAACCTCGCTGCTCTGCGCCGCAAGCCCCTTGCCAAGATGCTTTCCTGTCTGAGCCGCAAACGCTTCAAGCGCCCCGGCTTCACCCTGGCGGCACTAGCGGGTAGAGAGGCCGGCGGCGCCGGCAGCTCCCACTCCCAGTCCTGCAGGCAAGCTACCACCGGACTGCAAAGTCCACGGTGGGCATCCGGCCTTGACCAGCTCTGGCGGTCTCCACACCTGGAGAAACAAGATGTGAATTGCTCAACATGGGAATGCTAATGGCCACCTCGAAAAGGAGATTGGACTGGCAGGTGTTGGCCCAGACTTCCTGACGAGACCAAATAGCTTGGTGCATTCGTTCCCCCCAGTACGGTCCGAAGACAGGCAAGTGGACAAGCACTATCCGACTGCATCCCGCATGATCCAACAGGCCTTGGACTTATGGCCTTGTTGAGGTCTGTTCGTCGGTGCAGGGCAGCCAGCCAGGCACGATTTTAGGACGATTTAGCCAGCAGCGAGAATGGCGGAGAGAGCGAGGGACAGAGAGACAGATGCGTTGAAATACGTTGATCGTGTTAAAGAGATGTCATTCACCGGTCGCCTGCACCAAATAAGAAACTGTCCTCAGCCAAGGGACCGAAGTCTCTGAGTTAGAATCACTTTAGCAGACTCTGCCGGCCCAAACTTCAAAGGCAGACGGGCTCAAAGTCTCATTTGAGGGAGCTGGGTGGGAGCCAGAGGTTTCGCAAGGGTCGCCTCAGGGTCTCAAGGGAGACCAGAAAGGTAGAGGGCCAATAATTGAGGAGCTGTATTTCCCTGGGCCTTAACGCCAGGAGGTGGGCAGCGCTGGAAGTGTTGAAAAAGTGGAAGACACGCATATACACGCATGCACCGAAAGTTGATCTGTCAAGCCTCAGTTCTCTGCGCGCATGCATTAATTGCAGTCTAAACCGAAGACTGCAAAGCTTAGCTCCTTGTGCGGGACATCCTGATGCCGCCGGGACCTGCTCATATCGCACCAAGCTTTCGACAGGATTGGCTCTCCATAACCAGAGGGCAAGCCTGCCTGAACCGAAGGGCCCCGAAGCAGTACTAGGACTAGGACTTTCTTCATTGCAGCTCCGTGTGGATGTGCTGCCGACACCAACACTGGGAAGACTTGACAAACCTCTCTTTGCATTTACCTGCCAAGGTCTTCTGAGCTCCACTCGCCTATTCCCCCACCACTGCAAACTACGAACAATATCTCCCATATCGACCTGCCCAGCTTCTGGACCTCAGCATCGCCAAGATGGTACAGGTGTGAGTCTGCAGTGTCTGTCTCGGAGCAACTGCCTGCGGCCTAGCACGAGCCTATGTGTGCCAAGTGCTTGGCATTGGATGGGCTGTTGAGAGCCTCGCGCTCCTGCGCCATCACACATCGCTACCAGGTGCAACACAAAGGGCCACGCGGTGGCGGCACAGCCGCGAGCCAAGCTCCTCCGCAACAAAGATGGCAGCAGCCGTGGCCTTCGATCCACGGTAAATTTCGCCACACGTGCAAGGTGTCCAGTTGCGGAAGTTCTCAGCCCCGTACATCTCGCAGATCTTCCATCCGAATCTGCAGCGGGACTTGCGTGGTCTTACCGTCTTGCAGTGCTGTGCTACAGAGAGAAAGAGAGAGAACGAAAGAAGAAAGAGAGAGGGAGAGATCTGGGATTCGTGCAGCCGCAGGCTTCCTCGGCACTTCTGGGCCTCGGCTGTCACTAGCATCCGCTTGCAGAGACCTGATTCTAAGCTGGCATGCTGCCAACTCATACCTGGGCGTTTGGGCTTGTGAATGGCCGCGGCTTCCTCTGCAAGTAAACCTGGCTCAACTTCGGTCGCCCAGCCACGCGCATCTGGAACTGCAACCCCACAACAGAGGCGGAGCTACGTCTTGAAACGCACGATGCACTGGCTCGCTTTCTCCGTTTCCCCAAGTAGCGGCATGTTACAGGCAAAGCCACTAGAAAACGTCATAGCCTCCACTAAAGCAGGTCTTGCTTTGGTCTCGCTTGGCGCCGGAGGGCCAGGAGCACAGACAGCAGACGCTTGGAACGCGAATGGCTGGCCTGGGGCAATAATTCAACTCAGTCTGCAGATGTCCAGCCGTATCCAACTTCATGGCCCTTCGAGGAAATCATAAAGACTCCAAGGGCCACCATGTTGACGGGACACCGTGTCGTCGCTCGGGACAAGTCGAATCTCACCTCCCACACCATGCCCGCGAATGGTTTTCCTAGCGTCCCTCAGTCCATGTAGCATCCATAAATCCACAGCTCCTTCCTGTCCCATGTCATGAACACGGATTCCTGTCCCCACCACAGGCTCAGCCCATGAACAGGCTGCGGAGATCTTGGCAGCAAGGGGCCATGACGAAGCCACGGCCTTCGTTGTAGCACCTCTTCAAACTCAGCTCGGCTGCGGCCTCTGAGAAGCCAAGTTTGTGCTGCATCATCCCAATTAATTTGTCGCATGAGCTCCGCACAAGGACCTCGGCCGCACAAAACCAATATAGCACAGGTAGAACGGGTCTGGACTTGCGTCGTTAACCCTTAGCACACGCACTCGAAAACCTGAAGGAAATTCTCCCCGAGCCTGTAGAATACGAATTTTTGCCAATCCAAGGGTCGCATTTGCAGCTCCCAGCTCATGAAGGAGTCCTGCACCCCTCGCTAGACCCTGTCCATTGTAGCGGTGGTTCGTTGGATTTGATCAGTCTAGGATCCTATAGTATGAGGTACCCCCCCAAAAAGGCAACTACTATGGAGACTACAGCTATGATGTTAGGAGTTCAACAGCTATGCCGAGGCTCTGTGCGATACTGCACAGGCGAGAGTTTCAGGTTGGCCACCCCTGGGAGGGAGAACATCGAAGATCGAGCGCAACAACAGAAAAAATCGCAACAAACCCGATGATGAAAACAATAACTGCAACACTAACTAGGATAAGAAGACGACCGACAAAGACTCCAAACCCTCAACCTTAAGCCCTATGCAATTACACCCTAAACCCAAAGCTCTAAGCTAAGCCCCAAATCAGAACTCAGGTCACAGATCCAACTGGGACAAGAAACTAACCATAAGAATCATCAGAACTTGGGTCACGGTGCCCTGCGCTCACAGCAAGAAACAGCAGGACTGGGAAGAGAACCCTGGTGTGCTCGAAGGGAACCCCGACCGGCTTCTTGGGAGCGGCTCTCGGGCTTTAAGGGTTTAGTCGCACGGTTGTATTGACCCAGAGACTCCAATATCCCTTAATTAAGGAATATACCTTAAATCATATTAAGGATCCTATTATAATTTAAGGAATATTCCTTAATAGTTAAGGGATATTGGAGTCTCTGGGGATTCACATTTACTTCCAGGCTACGGGGGGGTGTTCGCTTGCACATACGAAGGCGTGGGCAAAGAGGCGGGTCCTTCCGCTCAGACTGCTCCTTCAGCGCTTGGAGAAATTCGGCTGCACCAGGTGCATCATTACGCCCTCTCATCTGGAAAACCGCTTTCGAGTTTGATCCTTGAACGGGCCGATGTGACAAATGCAGCGCACATTCACAGATCAGGGAAGCTAAGATTGAATGAACGCTCAGGTCATCGAAGTGTCGGATATACAAGTCGCTCACCAGGCGTCCGAGGAGAGGAAGTGCAGTGAGAAGGTCGAGAATCCAAACATTGTACGATGAATCACCTCGTTCCTGACTGTCACCATCTGCATGTAACCGCCTGTAAGCTTTATTGGCAGAGTTCAGGCTCATGCAGCTCAGCGGCAAATTGGATGAGATCAGTGAAAGGTAACTCGCCTTCCTTGAACCAGTCACGCGACGGCCAAAGACAGTACACATCGTGAGCCGTGCGGGGCTTCTTCATGGGCAGCTGGCTGATCGACTGGCCGTACCTGCTCCAAAGACCGACCAGCTCGCCTGAGCTCTGTACACAAGCACAGCTGTTCGACAGCAGCAATCGATGTGGCATGATCTGGCTCACCAGGGCACTCTCAAGATGCGTCGCATTGAAAGTTTCAAATCGCCCATCGCAGCAGCGCCACTCATGTTTCACGACGACTTGTGCCGCCTTGCTGCAGCGCAGCACGCGGCCGAGAGAGGCTGCATCCAACAAGCATACAATCTGCAGGCGCCCTCCGCAGAAATCGAGCAAGCCAATGGCGCGGTCCATTGCACGAGATATCGCGTGTTGAACGCCGCCTCACCTCCCTCAGCCTGAAGAAACATTCCCACAGCCCCTCGACATGCAGATGCAAACTTCTTCTTGCAAAGCTGCCCCTGCAACCAATTTGGACACGTGCACAGGCTCAGCTTCTGAACGGCGGCTGCATTTGTCAGGACATGCCAAAATAGGACTCGTCAACAGCTCATGACATCATCTCATGTTTTCTCAAGGTTGGTCCCCGACAATCGAGAATGGCTCTACGGTCCGAGGTTGGGTTAGCCAGAAAAAGCCTGCTGCCGCCCCTTTTGCCAGCAGGCCCTTCCCTCAACATGTCGGGTTTGCCGTGCAAAGGTCCTCCACGGTAAAACGGCCCTGGCCCAGGTAACCACATGCCCAGTACAGCCAGAGCAGCAAGAGTTGGGTCCCCGAACCTCGGGAAGCCGAGATGACAAAATGTCCGTAGCAGGGCGCGCCCACTCGAACTCGTCGTCCATAATCTGCAAAGGATCACAATACGCTTGGGGCTTGGCCAGGGAAGGAAATTTTAGACACCGCAGCCTCAGACTCCAAGACCGTGCGGACCTGCCGCAAGCGTCTTGCACTCTGCATGACAAAAAAAACCTAGCGAATACTCAACTTGGCTATCACCGGACCGGGAGGAAGGATTAAAAGCAGATCTGTTGCCAAAGACTCTTCAACTTTCCCTTTCTCACGCGATGCCTGTCGGCTGCGTGGGAGCCCTCCATCCTGCCACAGAGACCCAAATCTGCCGGGGAGGAGAAGTCTTGCTCCCGTCCTGGGAAGCTTTGGAGCACGCGCTCGTCGGCCGACCGGTTCCTGCCCTCCAGACAAGGCCAGCGAAGTGTCTCCGAGCCGATGAGCAGAAGTCGGCTCCCATTTTGAGCTCCAGCGCTCGGTGATTTCGAGTGTCTAGAGCTTCATGCGAAGGGCCAGGGCCGCTAAGGACAGGTCAAGTCTCTCGCAGTTGATCTCAAGCTCTCTGAAGCAGCCCCAGCTTTGCCGGGGCCATGCAATTCTGTACCTCTGCGTCTGCAAATTCAAACTGGAGTGCAGAGCTCGGTCCAGGGTCCCAGTACTACATTTACTACATGCTCTCGCCCTTTTACATATATGGCCAGAGGGGATCGCACATGACGCTTTGGGCATTGGAGGCTCGATTCCCTCTCACCTCGTTCGAAGAATAACCTGCAGTGGTTCGTTTTACTACGTTCCAGAAGTGCGGTGAAACTGCGCAGAGGGGGCTTGCTGTCAGTTGTCAGGGTATGTCAGCGTGCCGCATGACTTGGCGCCTTCCTAGCATGCAATCATGGACTTGATGGTGCATTTACGGGATTTCCTGGGTATGCTCCTGACCCCAAGCAAAACGAGGAAGCAGCTTCCTGCTTGCCCCACGACTTTCAAAGGAACCGGTGCGGAACAGGTTTGAGCGCTCGCATCCTTCCGCTCCGAGCTAGAAGTTGGGCTCTTGAGAACGTGTCCCGACCCGCGGCCCGAGGGGCTCAAAAGACCTCCAACTCAGCGTGTGGTCTTCCGGCTTCGGCCTTCCTTGAAGCTCCGGCTCGAGCCCCAAGGGACATGAACGGAGAGTAGACTGCAGCTGAGGCTCCACTGCTGAAAGGTGGAGGTGAGCGCTTTCTCATATCTGGCATGCCAAAGGTCAACGTCTTCTTGGGTTGGCGCTGGGATCTGCGGGCACCTTCAGAGGAGGAGCAGCACTTGTCAGGAGCGCATCACCAGCACAAGCTTCTGCCCAGATGCTGGATCGCTTCACCGACAACCGTCAGCATTCTCGCCTCCCAGCTGCAGCTTGCTACCCTCTCGCACACACACACACATACCACCTTCCCATATCTTCAACTCTTTCGAGCCTGCCGTCTCGGCAAGCAAGGAGTCATAAGATCTCCAAAGAAAGCAACCTGGAAGAATCAATGCTCCAGGAGCAGAGTCGACCAGCCCAACCAAGATTACTGACCCACTGTTTGCCAAAGAAAGATCTTGGCTCTACGCCTCTACTCACCGATCCTCAAGCCTCCATCGGATTCTAGCATCTTTAGGCAAGTCGCCGCGGGAATTTTGAACTGATTCAACCTTTGCAGCCGGCCACGACTCATGCGATGCTCCTACACCGCGCTAACACCTCAGATGGCCAAGCAGCCACAGCCGAAAGCTCATCAGCCCCGGCATAAACGAATAAGTCTCGTCCTCCCCAAAGGAATAAACAGGATGAATCCTGTAGCCGTGCCTTACTCAAGCGAGAGGAGTAACGATAACTCGCATCTAGAACCTCAGGCTCGGGTATTGCAGGGCTCGGCTCAGCTCCTGGCTGCAAGCAATACTTGATGATGCCTTTCCGGGATTTCAACACCACTCGATTCTTGCCAGTTTCACAGACCTTGCAGCGCACGAGTGCTCCAGGACAAATCATCAAGCCGCAGGCTACCTAGCTCCGTCCTAGCCGGTCCTAGCCGGACCCTTCAACACTACACACATGGGTCCTGGAGACCTCACCAACTCAAGACAACCGTACTAGCTGGAAGGGAGCGTGGTCGTTCCGGCACACACTTGTGGGATTTCGGCAACAGCAAGAGGCAAGAAGAGGAGAGGGGTGAGGTGGGGTTGCTATTTGTTGCTTCACACCAGCCACGGCTGCTGCGAACTGCTCAAGAAAAACATCGAGCATAATCAACGTACAGCGACGATGCTAGATGCTGTTTTACGTTCTTCATCGCTTTGCAGGTACAGGTGCTTGATCAGACCACCCATCCCCTGTCTTGGAATAGCTTCGTTGGCACAGGTACTTGTATCCAAGACAGGCTTGTGCCCCCTGCGCCGTTGAAACCAGTGTAGGAGCGACCCTCTTTTAAGGAAGTTCACACACACACACACATCCATGCTGCAAAGGCGCTGTGGCTTCTTCAAACCCACCCAAGGCCAAAGCTACCTTGGGCTCAACTCAGGTCAGCAGCGGTGCAAGCCAAGTCTTTGCCGAAAGTCAAAGCTCTGCAGTGCATGCCTTTCTCAGAACTGCTGGCCAGGCCGCATTCGCCCCTTGAGACATCAGCTTGTGTACTGTGGACTTGTCGGCGGTTGACATCTTGCAGCGCAAAGGGCGGAGAGCCTCTAACCCTGAGCTGCCGGACAACATGCAAGACCTGCCTCCCAAGATCTTGTTGAATACCTCTCATGCGTTCTTCGCACAGGGCTGCACTCTCTGCGCGACAACAGTCGAGTCAAGCTGAGCACGTGCAAAAGACGCTGGCAAACACATCTCCATCCGAACAGGGCACGTGTCGCAGAGCAATCGAAAGATAGGGTTGCCGTTGCGCAGGAAGTCATCAATCAAAAAAGCTATCTTCGCCTTGACACACAAAAAGGGCAGCAGAAGTGTGGGGTGCATGCCGTGTCGATATCTCGCACATGTGTCGAAATGCCATCGTGGCGCAGACTTGCTCACAAATTTTGAATCAAAAATTCCGTTGACCGTGAAGCCAAAGCAAACTGCTCCATGTGGATGGAATGCAAACAGTGTCTTCTCCTGGGACGGCTTAGCGGCGTGCGGCATTGTCTTTCCGAGGGCAGGAAGACTCGGGCCGCAACTGGCTTCACGTCGTCAAGGCATCCTCGCAGCTCGCACCTCGCCAGGAACCTTTTGAAGCCCTGGCCTTCCATCCAGGCCAAGAACCTAAGCCACAACGGCCTCTTCCTCTCTGAAAACACTGAAAGAAGTGTAGATCTTTCAGAAGCTGCAGACTAGCTCCCGCCAAGTTTCCCGGGCCAGGCACTCAGTCGCAGGTCGAAGATCACCGGCGCCGCAAAAATGAAGACAGATACGCAGAAGGACAAGCCTAAAGGACCTCCACGGGCACGACTCGAACGAGCAGAGCATGGCGTACAGCAGTGGGCCTGAAGCTGCACCCACCAAGGTCATCGCAAGCCAAAAGCCTCCGTGAGATGGGGTTCCGGTTTAGGCTCCGTTTTCGACATCTGCCGGGCACCTGCTCGCAGCTGCCAGCGCGGCAGTTTGTACATCCTCACAGTGGAGGCGACGGTCGTACTGCCAGGCTGCCAGACGCCCTGCGACGCCCTGATACGCCCTTGGTAGAGTCGAGCGACACCAAATAGGAGGGAACCACCAGGAGGCCCATGAAGTTCATCCTCACGAAACCAAAACCACAGCAGCAAGTGGCAACACGAAGGCAACAAAGGCCGAGCCCGGCCCGGCCCGGCCTGGCCAAGAACACGAAAGTCCAGAGAAGAAGGAGCACTGGCCCTGAGAGCCAAGAGCCAACAACCTCAGCTCGACTCCGAGCTCCTTCACCTCGGACTCCGAAGGCTTTTTCAAGGCCCTGGCAATAAGGGTCGGCAGTAAGCCCGTGAGGCCATCTGACGGTCCCTCATCGGACTTCATGGCTTCCTGCCACTATGTGCGCCCGAGCGGAGCACAGCGGCAGCCTGCCTCTGATTCTCTGCTTGGGCCAAGACGGCACAAATCAAGACTGTCATGACAGACGGCTGGCTACCAGGATGCCACAAGCGCCGGGAGTTCCGGTCCTGCGCTCCGGCGCTGTGTATGGCCGCGTGGGTGACCAGGCCGTCTGGCAGACATAAGAGGGTGTTTGCACAGGCCCGGAAGAAAGGAAGTTCAAGCGAGACAGGGCTTGCTCCGACTCGTGAGCCACGGGAGGACGGCCTGTGCACGGTCAGCTGCTGTATCAGTGTGTGCATGCGTGTGTGTAGATCCTGTGTACGTCAAGGTCAGTGGCCTGGAGAGCGCACAATCGAGCACTTGCCCGATCTCGGCCTGTACAGCAGGCGCGTTCCGTTCGATCTTCCGCAAACCGGATCACGCTTCCCTCCCGTGGCCTGCTTCTCGACCTTGTCGACCAGACCTCAGAAATTACCCACTGGTGACGGCACTCTTCACTTGCGAGCGACTGGATGTGAAAGCGCCCGCTCACTTGGCTTCGGACCGGTCTCCTAGCAGGAACGAGTCTGTCCCATGATGTGCATGCAAGTGCAAGACAGAAGGCGCACACCGGCCAAGGAAGCACCACACAGCACAAGCAGTGCAGACGTGGTGTGTGTGTGTGTACTCACATAGCTGTTTGCCATTGTTTGCCTATGTTTTCCTGACTTCGCTTTCATCATAGCAAACGGCATAGGGCTTCCTTTGCTGGCACGGTATGTTACAGGCCTCTTAAGCAAAAGCAAACCCTGCGCAATTCGCATCAAATCCTCCGCTCGGCTGTCTAAGTCGCGTACTGCCCCCGCTGCATGAAGCTGATGGTCTGTTCCCTTGCAGCTGCACCAAACTGCCAAGCCCTACTTTGCGAGGCTGCTGGGTATTTGTCTGCTCCGCTGGGTATGCCGTCGGTTTCGAACTGAAGTGCCAAGGTGCCAAGTTCTCAGCACAGTTCTTCTGCATTCATTTCTCTCATTTGATTCACAATCTGGCAAGGTACTCGCAGAAAAGCTTGGCTTCCTTCTTGCTTCAACGTGATCATTCTTGCTTCAACGTGATCGGCCAAAGGCTCTGTACCATCTCATGCGCACCACTACCCGGCACAACCTCAGCATCGACAATTCCACGGATGAATGCCAATTCTTCCGCCCGCCCAGTCCTTTGTGGCCGCCTTGTCTGTCAATTGGTTTGGAGTCTCGCTGGCCCCCTCCGACTCCGACCAACGTGAAACGCAGGTACGCAGGCACGCAGGCACGCAAGCCCTGGTTCATTTAGCACCTTTCACCTAAACTTCCAGTTACCAGTAACACCCAACGCCGCTTGCAGTTGCTTGCCGCAGTCTCCGGACGACTGCGGGTTTGCTGGACAGGACGCAGGTGGGTCCGTCAAGACATCACTTAAACTTTGACAGGACACAGTGGAACCCACGAGTTTGCAAGCATGATAAACAAGTGGCATTCCCTACAAGCTCCTGAAACACATCCTGCTTTCTGATTCTGGCAACCTCTTCTTGCTTTCGCCGCCCAACCTGTCATCATGAACGGAAGCATGCAGCAGAAATGCACAATTTCACACACAACTTCACATTGGAAGCACGTTCTGCCGAAATGCGTGCCTGCACACAGTAGCCAATAAGCAGGGCGCCCAGCAGCATCATGACCAGCATGCCTGGAACGTCGGCCCATTGTACGGTTCTTTAACACCATTGCATCATGACACCAAACTCAAGCCAGCAATGCCCACGCCAGCCGCTGTGGGCCACATGGCAAGGGGCGCCTTGAGCACAGGCGAGAGCTTGGCATGGATGGGGCAGATCAGGCTGACCGGGTGGGTCCACGTGGCACTCGGTGCTGCTGCGGTCCTCCGCACGCAGCCCTCGCGCGTTGAAGCCCTGGACCGTCTGTTCGCCCACCTCGAGGGTTTGGACTCCAAGACGCTTAAACCTCTACCGCCAGGCGCGATGCACCTGCCTGCGACTCGGCAGGCGGGACTTCAGCAGGCTGCCACCTGAAAGAAATCTTACGGTAGCTCTGCAGCAATGACTTACAGACTGCTTGGAGGCTGCTTGCAGCAAGTGCACAAGACAAGGAAAGAGGCTTATGCATGGTGTCAACGTCGTGCCACCACCGCAGGTGGAAGGTCTTTTCTAGCAGAGCGGCACCCAATCGTAAAGACACGAAGCAAAACAGTCCTCACTTGCCCAAACACTCCATACATCACATCTCCATCCCAACAAGGATCCGACGCTGCGCTTGCATGGACGCAAGCATCTTTAGTCTTTAGCCATCAGTTGCTGCGGTGGAAAATAAAACTGTGCTTTCTGCCCGTTTGTTAACTTGTACAGGACACATACACCCGTCTGCCTGCGCCAGACTTAGCAAGTCAAAAACACCAAAGACACCAATGTCCCGCTCTCAAGCTCTCAGAGATCTCCGCGTGGAACCACCCAGTTGATTTTGTGCTCAGGGGCCTGACGGTACAGGTCGGGAACTCAAGCTTTGGCGTGCGCAAGGTTGTCGGGGCCTCCAGGTAGAACAACTTCATGTCGATGCGGTACTGGCGATGAGCTTGGATGTAGACCTGACATCGGGAGCTTGAGGGGCCTCCCAGATTTGAAGCATCATGCACGGCGTGCACGCAGGCCGAAAGCCAAGGAGTCGGCCCAGGCAAAAAACAAACCAACGCCCATACCACCGAGGAAGTCGCGCAGATAGTGCCTGCGCAGAAATGTGGACGGATGACAAAGCCCGTCCGCTGGGAGTAGGGACATCCATAACTCCATAACGCAGGCGAACTGCAGGAATGAAGCAGAAAACACATCTATGGGGTATCATGTCTTATGTTTCT